ACAAACAAACATGAGCAAGAAGCGACAGTACTAATGCAAAAAGTTAAAGAAATCTGGTGCCAACTTCTGGGAACGAAAGATTTCGGGCCACATGATGAATTCTTCGCTGTTGGTGGGCATTCTCTAACACTTGTGCTGCTACGGAACAAGATTCGAGAGCAGTTCGGATTCGAGCTTCAGTTCGATCGCTTTTACAAACGACCAACATTGCTGGCACTAATAGAGGATATATTGATGGCGAAGAAGTATGCAAACACGGCCGTTCTAGAGGTAAGAAATTATTGAGAGATTCAAGAAGCACTATTTTATAGAAAACCGTGTTTCTTATCCCATCAGTGCGAAAGTTAGCCGTAAACACGCTGACTGGAAAATCTGTCGCAGATCACTTGCATCTAAGAAAACTGATTTCTGATGTAAACTGGTTTCTGTTGCAAATTAGTTCCTGTTGCAAACTGATGTCTGTCGCAAAGTGGTGTCTGTTGCAAAATGGTTTCTGCTGCAAAGAGATTTCTGAGAGTGTTGTCTTTTGCAAAGAGGTTTCTGTCTTCTGTTGCAAACTAGTTTCTGCTGCAAACTGGTGCCTGTTGCAAGCTGGTTTCTGATGCAAACTGGTGTCTGTTGCAAACTGGTGTCTGTCGCAAAGTATTGTCTGTTGCAAACTAGTTTCTGTTGCAAATTGGCTTCTGTTGCAAAGAGATTTCTGTTGCAAGGTGGTGTATGCTGCAAAGAATCTGTTGCAAACTGGTTTCTATCGTAAAGAGATTTCTGTTGCGGTGTGGTGTGTGCTGCAAAGAGGTTTCTGTTGCATACTGGTTTCTGTTGCAACCTGTTTTATGCTGCAAACTAGTTTCTGATGCAAACTGGTGTCTGTGCAAATTGGCGTCTGTTGCAAAGTGGTTTCTGTTACAAGCTGGTTTCGGATGTAGACTGGTGCATGCTGTAAAGTAGTATCCGTTTCAAGGAGGTTTCTGTTGCAAAAGGGTTTCTGCCGCAAACTGGTGTCTGTTGCAAAGCGGTGTCTGTTGCAGAGTGTTGTCTGGTGCAAACTGGCGCCTGTCGCAAACTAGTATCTGTTGCAAAATGGTGTCTGTTGCAAAATGATTTCTGTTGCAAAGTGGTTTCTGCTGCAAACTGGTGTTTGTTGCAAAATGGTTTCTGCTGCAAAGTGG